ACCACGAGGGCGAGCAGCGGTGCGAGGAGTGTTCGGCAGGCCAGCTCTTTCGCCCCCGCTTCCTACCGCAGGGAACCTGGCTGCAGGTGCACGGCCTCAAGGAGTCTCCGATCTACCAGGAGGTCGCCGAGGTGCTGCGACAGGGCGCCGAAGACGCCGACGACGACGGCCAGGCCCAGGCGCGGGCGCGGAGCTAGCTGACGTTCAGGCCCAACGAAAGGGAGTTCACGCGGCAGAGCTCGGGGGCGCACAGCGTGCGCCGCTTGGGCTTCACCCTGAAGCGCGCGCCCTACCTGACCTCCACGCTGTCGCAGGGCCAGACGCTGCACAAGGGCGTCGCCGTCGACTGCGCGAGAGACGAGGACGCTGGCCGCGCGGGCATGTCGGACGAGCAGTGGCGGCTGCGCCTCTACGTCGTGCCCCCCCGCGCCGCGTGCGTGCGGGACATGCTGATCCTGCGGCCGCCGCCGCGGGAGTTCCTGGAGCGAGGGCCGCCCGCGCCCCTGCGGAAGGCGCTCCTGGAGTTCGACAAGAGAGCGGTTTTGTCCAGGGCGGAGGCGAAGCAGCTCGCGGCAGAGCTGGGCTTCGCGCTGCCCGCCCGAGCGCGGCTGCGCCCCGCTCGAAGCCCGCGGGGTTGTCCCAACGGCTTGGTCTTGCGCGCGAACGGCTCGCGGGGTTGCCCCGACAGCCTGGCCCGCGGGGTCGTCCCAACGGCTGCGCGACGTGGCCAATAGAGAACGCGCCTGCGCTGGCCGAGGCGGCGACGGCGCCGAGGAAAACCGAAATGCGCGCTCATGCAATGGAAAAGGCGACAGGAGGGCGAGGTCGGGGGCAACGTACGGGGCGGGGGGAGGGCCCGCGCCAAGACGAGAAGAAATATACGCAGAAGAGACAGCCAGGATGCCTCACCAACCACGAGGACGACGGTGAGGGTTTTTTCCAGATTCGCCCAGAGGGCTTTCATGCGGGGTCCTTCCGTCGGAGTAATTTTCTGTCGAAAATCCCCCTGTAGGAGGACAGGCCCGACTTGGCCCCAGAGCCTCGAACCTCGAAGCTCGAGCCTCGGAGCTCCCCCCCCGCTCTATAGGCTCCCTGGCCCCGGCCTGGGTTAAGTCGGGCCTGCGCGCCGTGTCGCATAGGGCCCAGGGCGGCCCCGGCGTCGCACGCGGCGGCGGGTGTGCAGGCGCGTTTTCTGCACAGCTGCGGCAAAGAGGGGGGTGATGACTAGGGTTAAGTCGGGCCTGTCCTCCTACAGGGGGACTTTCGACGAACCACACAAAAATTAAAAATAACTCGAAAACTGGTCCCCCGACTATTTTTGTACTATTTTTGAATATTCCCCTGTAGAGGGACAGGCCCGATTTAAGACTAGGGGGGTGGATATCATGGCAGGGGGGCATGATATTTCCCCAAATCTCACGGCGTCTCTTCTCATTTCATTACGTCCCCGGCCCCCCCCGCTGGGCCGCGCACGTGCCGCCGGCCATGATTGGCAAATCCCCCTCTTGGACACCCCCCTCTTGGCCGCTCCCGAGTTCTGCGCAGGAGCTCGTGGCCGCTGAGGGGAAGGCGGACATCAAGAAGGCGCAGACTGTGTAGCAAATCGGGCCCAGACACGTTCGCGCGAAGCAGAAGTCACGACGGAAGGCTTTGTTCGCCATGTCTGGCCTCGGAGGGCCCTCGCCGGGCCACGGAACGACAGCAAAAACGACTCGGGATGAAAAGCCAGGCCGGGGAACAGATGCGGGGCTTCTGGGGACCGTGTATGGAAAGAATGGGGACGTTGCATGTCCGGGTTGGTCGCAAATCGTGGGCGACATGCACACCCTCGTAGCTCCGTCTCTAGAGTGCACTGGCGCCGACCAGCGCCTGGTAGTCGATGCGATGGCGCCGATTTAGCGCCGATGAGCGCCGACCAGCGCCGGCTCGCAGGAACCAAGATGGCACAGGAGGCTCCCACGCCCAGACATGCGACGTCCTGACTTTGTTCAGTACGGGGTCCCTGGAAGTCCCGACCCTTTCCCCGGGACCGGCTTCTCATCCCGCGTCGTTTCTTGCCGGCCCCGAGGCCCGACGGAGGACCCCAGAGGCCGACAACTTACCAGTCACCCCGCGTCGTGATCACTCTGCGGTGCGATCATGTCTGGGTGACTTGCCACAGCAATCAGAAGCCGGGCGACGGCTGGCAAATCCGTGGCTGCTAAAACGGAGCTCCGGGAACTTGTTTCTGTCTTCCGAGAAGCAGCCCGTTAACTAGTTCGTGCGCTGAGCTTGATTGCGGAAATCTGTTTATTTCCTTCCAGGAAGATCGTTTTAGCAGCCACGGATTTGCCAGCCCTCGCCCAGCTTCCAAAGCGAGGCAGAGATGCTCGACAGCGAGCTCGACCCCGCGTCCGAGGCGGCCTCCGCGGGCGCGGCCGCGGCGGTGCCGGCGCAGCAGCCGCAGGCGGAGCCCCGCCAGCAGGCGCCGCCTGGGCAGACTGGCCTATGCGCCGGCCCGGCGATCTACGACGGGCCCACCATGGGCTGGGAGGACTCCTCCTCCTCCTCGTCCTCCTGCTTTCCTCCTCCTTCTTCTCCTCCTCCTCCTTCCTCCTCCTCCTCCTTCGCCTTCTCCTCCTCCTGCTTCTTCCGCCCCCTCACCCTGAGATCTGGGCGCTGCAGTTTCTTCACGCCGGGCGCTGTCGCCCATTCGCGGGCCCCAGGACCGTCACAGATCGATCCGGCCGGAGGCATGCAGCACAACGATGGGGTCTTTGGCCCCGGTCGTACTTGTGTTGCAACGTCGGATCTCAGGGAGCGTCGAACGCATCCATGCCCACGCCCCCGCGGTCTGGACTCGAGATCTGGGGCGCGATCCCGTTGATGCGTGGTCGCATGAATGCGGTCCGCGCGGGGCACTCGCGAAGAGGCGCCCTGGCTGCACGGGGTCGCAGCCCAGGAGCCCGGCCCGCGGTGTTGTGGACGTGTGAGTGTATGTGTGTGTGTGTGTTTGTGTGTGTGAATGTGTGTGAATGTGTGTGAATGTGTGTGAATGTGTGTGAATGTGTGTGTGTGAGTGTGTGTGTGTTTGTGTTTGTGCGTGTGTGTGTGTGTGTGTGCGTGTGTGTGTGTGCGTGTGTGTGTGTGTGCGTTTGTGCGTGTGTGTGTGTGCGTGTGTGTGTGTGTGTGCGTGTGTGCGTGCGTGTGTGTGTGTGTGTTTGTGTTTGTGTTTGTGTTTGTGTGTGTGCGTGCGTGCGTGTGTGTGTGTGTGTTTGTGTTTGTGTGTGTGTGTGTGTGTGTCTGTGTGTGTGTTCTGGCCGCGAGGACTGCCGCACGAGGTGCATCGGCCACTGCAGGCTCTCCTGGGCAAGGCCAAGCCCAGATGTCCGACCATCGGATGTCGAAATCCTGGCGGGTCTTGTTCGATTGTGAGGGCCTTCCGCCCGGTGCCGCCGACCCTGACGACGACGACGAGGACGACTAGGAGCAGGAGGGGGAGCAGGAGGGGGAGGAAGAGGCGGAGGAAGCACGCGGCATAGAGGGATGCGGACGGCTCCCTCCGAAGGCTGGCGGGCGCGACGGGGACACACGAGCCCCGCGCAGCGCCCTCGGCCCCACGGAGCGCAGGCCCCGACGCACGGCACGGCTGCAGCCTCGCAGCGGCCCAGCGGCGGCGCCAGACGGCAGGTCCACCAGCTCGATCGGCACCGCGTCGGGCGCTGCCGCGCTCGGCGCGAGCCTGCGATCGAGCCCGGAGAGGACGCACCTGCCTTTGGGCCGACGCGACCGGCACGCACGGGCGGCGGGGCCCATCCGCCTTCAGCGCTGCGGTCGCGCCGCACACCGGGCAGACCACCTGCGGCATCTCGCGCTTGAGGCTGCCCGCCCGCTGCGCGTGGCTCTCCGCCAGCGTGTGGGCCTCGCCACTGGCCAGGTGCTCGCGGCTGACGTCCAGCACCCTCGAGACCGCACTGCCCACTGCACTCCTCGGCCTTGGGCCGCAGCAGCCTGCACCTGGCGCACCAGGGCCCGCCTGCGCCCTCGCGAAGGTCGTGGCGCCGACATGCCCGCCGCGCAGGCGGCTCCTTCACTGCAGCCCGTTGCGGCTTGGCCTTGCGGTGCGTGGTGTCCTTGCCCTGCACGCAGGCCCCCACCGCGCTGCGCCACATAGCCACCCCGTCGACCAGGTCACGCCACTGCTGGAGCTTGCGCTGGGGGCCGACAGGCACGCGGCCGAAGGCGGCAGCAGACTTGGCCGCCTCATCCGCAAAACGATTGCCGCGCCTATTGACGAGGCTGATCCTATCCGACTCCACGTCACGAGCGTTGCAGTGCGACTGCACCCATCGCATTCGCAGCTCCTGCTCGCCGACGCCCCCGTAGTCGCCCAGCAAAACCCCACAGCACGCGCCACAGGTGAGCCCACGCGCAACAGTACCTGGTGGTGGCCTCCTCTCCCCAGCTCCATGACCCCTTAGGACACAAACTGAAAGTTCACCACCGCCTCCATCGGAGGCAATCTGTGACGAACGAGCATGATCAGCGCCATCAGTTCGCCGCCATTGATGTCCACGAACGGTTCGCAGAGCATCCCCGAGATCGACATGAGGTACTGGCCAGTGTCAGGCCGCAGCGCCACCACGCCCCAGACCACGCTCTCGTAGCCGTCGAACTCCGCCTCGAATGTCCGCGAGCCTGGCGTGGGGCTCGACGCCCATCGAGGCGGGCCACAGGCAGCGTTCCGGCAGGAGCTTCACCTCCTCCAGGTCCGCGCGCCCCCGCAGTGCCTGGACCTTCGCAGGCAATACCAGCGTGTCCTGCCAGCCTTCGCAGCCGCAGTGCCTCTGCTGCACCGCACCGCGAGCAGGGTACAGGAGGCAGACATCTGAGTCGGCCATGCCAGCGTCAGCCTTCCGCGCCTGCGGCCACCGACGGTTGGTGACCAGCGACGCGACGTAGCCCCGCGCCTGGAGGGCCGGGCGCACGGGCGCACGGTGCCGCCCGCGTGCTCCCTCCTCCGCAGGCTGCCGCACGCTGGCGACGATGCCCGTGGAGGTGAGCTTGACCAACGGCTCGAGCACGCCGCCCTTCGCGAGGCGAGCACACCTGGGAGCCATGGCAGCCTGCCGCCACTGCCACTTCTCCACGGCACTGCGGAGCAACTTCCCGAGCAACCACGGGGAAGCGTCGAAGGCCTTCAGCTCCACGCCCTCTCGAGTCCTCCACGTGCACTCGCCCAGCACCTCCCAGCCCAAGCGGCGCAGAGTGACCACGCAGGCCGAGAGCGGGCCCTGCACGTGCGCCCCGTGCCAGGTCACGGCGCGTCCCTCGCAGGGGCAGAGGTTCACCATGTGCGGTGGAACCCATCCTTCCCAAATCGCTCGCAGCAGCTTCAGGATGGGCATCAGCCTGGCACGATACATCGGACCGAGCTCGCGGTGCAGCATGAGCGACAGCGTGCGGGACCTGCCCGCCGTGCTGGCCGATGCCGCAGCGGAGACGGCGGGGCGCAGCTTGTCCAGTTCGCCCTGCGCGCAGCCCGTGACCCCGAAGTCGTGGGACACGCTCGGCTCCAGACCCGCGTGCGCCATCTTGCGCGCCGCGGCCTTGCGGCCCTTGCCCGTCTTGACGATCTGGACCCGCCGCAGCCTCTGCTTGGCCTGCTTCAGCTTGTCGGCGCGCACGGCACGCACGATGCGCTTGCCGCAGCAGTAGTCGACGCCGAGGTTGCGCTCCCTCGCCACCGCGACCACGCCAAGCGGCCTCCCCAAACGCTGCTGCAGTGCCTCGCGAGCCTGGGCCACGTTGGCGAGCGCCCTCGACTTCTTGACCGCCACTTGCAGGTCGTACTGCTCCAGCAGCAGCTTCAACCGGAAGGCCCCGTCCGCGACCTTGCGCACGGCGCGCTGCTGGCCGCCCACGCGACGAAGCATGATGTCGTCGACCACCACCGCCAGCGACACGGACGGACACGCACTGTGCAGTCCATCCAGCGGCGCCAGCCGCATCACCTTGAGGAACAGCGGTTTGCTCGACGCTGATCTCGTCAGACACCGCCTCGCCAAGAACAAGCCTGCGCGGCGCACGGCAGAGCTCGATTTGCAGCTTGAGCTGCCGCGGCGGAAAGCCGGTCCTGATGGCCGCATCGATGAGCCAGTGGTGCCGCACCTGCTCGAACGCCTTGAGCAAGTCCAGCAATGGGGCAGCCGCAGTCCAGGCAGCAGGATCGTCGGCAGCGCGACCCTTGGCGGTGGCCCACTCGCTCTTCACAGCCTGGTGCCACACGGCGCATTCGCAGCCACGGCCCTGCGCCGTTCAGAACCAGGGCCTGTCATTGCGGCGCTCCCGGTCGACGGCCACTGGTCGTCGCAGGCGCGCCTGCGCGCGCGCCAGCACCATGATGATGGCGATCGGCCGCACCTCGCCCAGCCGCTTCTCGAGGACGCCGACCTTGGTGGTGAGGGTGGGCCAGGCCGCATCCTGCTCGACCGCCATGAGAGTACGTCGAGGAACACCTCCAGCGCGTCGTCGCACAGCTCATGCAACTGCCTCGGCTTGATGGCGCCAAGCGAAGTGCCCGAGCCGACCTTGTACCAGCCTCGAACCTATCCCTATCCCTGAGCTTGACGCGCCCAAAGGCGATGACAATCTTAGAGATCCGCCCCCCAAAAAAATAAGGGAATCCCCAAGATGGGCATCGTGATGAGGAGGTGCCCAGCATAGGGATAGGGATAGGGATGTGTTCCAGGCTGGTAATCCTCGGAAGGTCTCGAGGCAGGCGCGGAGCTCACCCGCCGCGGGCCGCGGCGGGCGGGGCCCGAGGCCCTCGGGCCAGGCCGGCGCCATCCGGCCGCCCTCGACGCGCCATCGCCGCGCCCACTCGCTCGGCGAGCTGCTCGCGACCTCGGCGCCGAGGTCGCAGGGCCGAGCAAGCCCGGGGCCGGAGGCCCCTCCTCCTCCTCCTCCTCCTCTCCCTCCTCCTCCTCTCCTCCTCCTCCCTCCTCCTCCTCCTCCTCCTCCTCCTCCTCCCTCGGCCCCGTGTCTTGGCATCGCTCGGACGTGTGCATTTTTCCTTCTGCGAGGACCATCGTGGAGCATCCTTCATGATTTGGCGAAAAAAAAAAACCACGCACGAAGCCGAACAAAACACACAGGGAATGGACGTCCGAGCGATGCCCCCGTGTTCCCTGGGCCCGCCAGGTCGCCGGCAGAGCCGGCCAGGCCGGCGGCCAATGCGGGGCTCCTGCCAGCCAGCAGGGGTGCGCGTGGCGGCGCGGAGGGCCACCCGCGCCAGCCAGCCTCGGCCCGCGCCTCCACCCACGCGTCGAAGGCCCTGCCGCTCTCCTCCAGGTCCTGGCATCGCTCGGACGTGTGCTTTTTGTTCTCGGCGAGAGCCATCGAGGACCATCCTGGACCATCGAGCCACAAAAACACGCATGAAGCCGAAACATGTACGGCAAATGGACGTCCGAGCGATGGCATGAGGTCGCGCTGCGCAGGCTCCTGTGAGCCAGAGGTCGCCTGGGCAACCAGCCGCTCGGAATCGGGCAGGCCCAGCTGCGCCACCCTTTCCCAGGACGAAAGCCTCCACCGCCTACCTACAAGGCGGTCCAGCGAGGCGACCAACGGCGAGCCGCCCAGCGGCTGAGCGCGGCACTCGTCAGCCTCCTGGAGCTCACGAGCACGACGAGAAGCAGCGACGAAGCAGCGACGGCAGCTTCCTGAGCGCTCGCACGCGCCCGAAAGGCTGATCAGCGATGCACGCCGACCTCAGGGCACCAGCACTCCTCGCCATCCAGGCCGCTTCAACAGAAGTACGTGGCGTACGTGGTGACAAGCAGGTGAAGCCGCAGGTGGAGGTTCCGGTGATCTCGCCCTTTTCCCCCCCGCCTGGGGATTTCAGATCGTATCCCAGTCCGGTGGCTACGGTGCAGGCGGTTTCGCCTCCCAGGGCCATGGCGGCGGATGCGGCGAGTTCTTCGGCGGAGCAGGGTACCGCTACGAGCACTACCATTCCACCGGCGCCCAAGAAGAGGCAAGAAGAGGCGTCGCAAACACATGTTGAGCGACTACAAGCGCATCCTCGAGCGCATGAGGGAGGACATGCCCACTGGTCAGGAGCCGGACAGGACGGAAATCGCAGCTTTGGCGATGGGGTGGTGGCCTCCTTCGCCGCCTGCTCCGGTCACGCCGCCGTCACCTCCGACTCCGCCAGCAGGAACGAGGATCCCACGGACGCCACCTCGGAGGTGAAGACCTTCTACATCGGCGACGGGTCCTTTCCCGATGCAGGTGGTGAAGGTGCAGCCCCCGACATGTCAGCCCTTAGTGGCGGTGTCACGCCTGACGGCTCTGG